TTGTAGGTTACACATTATTTTTTAAGAAATCATTATTATGGTGTAGTACCGTGATTTACGTGATTTTCACGCAACTTGAGTTAATATTTATATGAGTATTTCATGCATTATAAAATAAGCAATACACTATTAAGCATAAACTTTTATTAACAGGTTTTAAAAAAATTGTTCAAAAAGGAATAAAAATAATACTGATTATCTTTTAGGATAAAACAAACAACTAATAAATTCTTAAACCAAACAAAATTAAGAAAAAGTTTATTGTTAGTGTGGTAGCTCATCATAACATGAATGAATATCTTTTGAAATGACCATATTTAATTCTTAAAGATGATTAAATTTCTGTATTTTAATAGACCTTTTGGTGTATAATTTCATAAAGTTGCCAGAGGCTTCCGCTTTTTTAATGTGCCTGGGCAAATTCTCGTAAGGATCTGAGAATTTTTTCTTCAATTGCATCGTACCTTCAGAATGGTATTGTATTGCATACAAATCCACTACAACAGGATCTTCAACATGATTACCAGGACGTATTGAGTTTACATAAGGGACATCTTTAAATTTTAAGAAAAAGTAGTATTCCAAGTACCTTACTTGGTATGGTCACAGTATAAAGAGGTTCCACAGTAAAATCACTCGTCTGTCGGCGCTTTGATCTCAGGAAGTAATACCGGCAAAGTACGAAATTGGTAATTCACCAGTGGTCGTTGCGGGCGGAGGCCGCATCCACCACCGTTAACCTTACAGAGCCGTATTAAAACTTCCTGAGCCTACTACTATTAATTTATTTAAATAAAAAATGCGGCTTCCCATATTTAACTATCCAGATGTTTATATTTTTCAACGGTACTTAAAATATCAACGGTATTGCGCAAGTTTTAAAATCTCAATGGTTTGTAATATATTGTACACGTCATATAAACGTTAAATAAAAAGGAGGTTAATTTCGAAGCTATCACGGCATTACTATACTCTGTTTTTAAACCAGGAGGAGTAATTTAAGTTTACCGCGTCATAACGCTTGTTTATAATTCGTCCAACGGCAGGCAAGTTTACTCCACTGAGACGAATCGTCTAGTTCATCGTACTCTCTCCCATATGCTTCACAGATTTGACAAACATGTTTCCTAAGACACTTTTGTATTAAATAACCGCATATATATCTTGTGAAGTTTTTCTGTAATTTATTTGAAGTTTAATATTTTTGGTCATCCAAAGTGTTTTCAGGAACCAAAGCAGTGGTTTCGGGCAGATAATCGTCGGTACATAAATATCGGTTAAATTTAACAAAATATGGCCTGCATCTCTTTCGCAATTTTCTGTACCGGAATGCATCATGTCTAAACAAAAATATCTTTTGAATGCTGCGGTAAATTGTACCGGAGTAGGGTTAACACAATTGCCACCTTGCTGCCTGATTGAACCAAAAAAGGTTTCTAGACAATCTTGATTCATCCGCCTTGTTAAAAAATAATCCATTCCATGTGACTGTAGTAGATTCTACAAATGAATCACTCCATTAATGGTTATTTTCCAACCATTAACACATTTTATTCTTGGTGTTACATTTTCAACTTTAAAATTAATTACCTGTAAATTATTAAACAATCGGAAATACGTATTAAAAAATTCTTACTGAGCATCGGTTCCTCTATACGGTCTTTGGTACTCAGTTGCTCCTCTTAATGAAGAAGAATTTAGCATATCAAATAAATTGTTAATGTTCCTAATAAATATTTCGGTTGTTGTTGCTTCCTGGACGAATACATTAAATCTAATATACAGATGCAGACCGGCAGCAACAGTGTAGCTAAATATCTGACAAGCATATTTCACTTTCCTATTTTCAAAATTGTTAGGAGATAAATGTGATTCGGTCAATTTTGGCGCTGCACGTATAGGATATTGTTATCATGTTCGTAAATTTTTTTAATAAATTCCCAAGAAGCGATAATATCATCAATAAAAATTTGTTTCTTAGGAAGTTTTTTTTTTTTTTTTTTTTTTTTTTTTTTTTTTTTTTTTTTTTTTTTTTTTATTGGCATAGACTTTTAGTCATTCAGCCAGACTCAACATGGTAAAAAAAAGTTGTCTGAGTTTATTCTTAGGAAGTTATTACGGAGTACTTTTAATAAATGAGGTTTATCAAAAGAAACGACAATATTATTGTTTTCATGGTAAAAATATGGTCTATCGGCAGATATATTTAACAAATTTGAAAGTTTAAGATTATTAATACCACTTTGAATTTTACTCATGTTCAACTTCATAATACTAACAATTATTCACAAAACTAACTCAGTTTAAGCAAAATACGGCACTGTTAACCTGAACGTTTCTACGCGACTAGCAACGGAAGAATGGTTCTCGAGCGACTAAGAAATAAGCGCAGTCGCCCTGCGCGTTGACAGATTTTACTTCCAATTTTTCGGAGAGTGGTTTTACTGTGGAACCTCTTTGTACTGTGGTATGGTCTAGGATGCGTATGATCTGTCTTGCACACTTCTACGTATCCTGCTGGTAAATAGATATTCTTCTTTCTTAGATATTGTTCAATCGTAGAGTGCATCAAGTAACACTTCATTTGGGTGTGACCCTTTTCTAAAAACTTTTGAGTAATAATTAATCCTGTTTTTACTGACGCCAGATGCAGTCCATTAGATAAAATTGCATTGCGGTTTTGGTATGTGTAACCATCGTTGAAGAAAATTACCTCTTTTAATACTGTTCTGTCAATATTATGGATAATGAAATCATATAAAATACTGCAAAATTCGTCAGCATTAAGGCCTCCGTGTGTCTCGTTTCACAAAAAGCAAAATCTGTCATGATTTTCTAGATTATAAATAGTTAAGTTGTGTACCAGAAATTTCGTTTTGTAATACAGTGCCTTAAAAAAGGAGAAAGTAGTACGGCTTGTAGGTCAATCTTAAACACCACTACAGATGGATCTTGATTTTCCTTTTTTTCCATTCACCTTTCTTATCTCATCTTTACGCTCAATGTGCCTATTATAAAAAATCTCAGTAATATTTTTTCCGCAAATCGCCAGGAAATTTTGACATTCCTGTCAAAATTTCTTGAAGAAAAAGTCAGGACTTCCTTACTGTAAGGAAATGTCATTTCCTTACTGTAAGGAAATGATATTTCCGTACAGTTGTTAGTATTCTACATAAATGATAGAAAACACATTGCTTATAAGGAATTAATTTATATTTTGAAAACATCAAGTCATTGCTGAATACATTTTTAAGATCAATTTGTTATATTTACAGTAATTTTTTGTTATATTTGAGTCCCAGGAATGGAAATTTCATCATCACTTATCATTTTACTTTCGAGAACACCAGCAATTAAATTTATAAGCGTCAAGTTTGACAATTCAACCTCAATACGTTTCCATAGTAACCCAAAGAATTTCAAAGCACCATTTATTTGGGAATAAAATTATCGCGTTTTTTTTTTAAATCAATCAATATCTGTCGAATTTTAAACGATTTGCGGAAAAATAGTATGTTTACCTCGTAGGAAAAGCCACATTCCTGGATTCTGTGTTGCTAAGTCTCGGCTTGCGCCTCGACTTAGCAATCTTCACAGTCTTCCAGGAATGTTAAGCTTTTCCTACCCGGTAAACAATGTACTATTGTTCTGTAGCCACAGCCGATATCGCAGTGGTTTTTTTTGGTCGGAATAAAGATAAATTTATTTCATCAAAAATTTACCCGAATACAAATTTAGATACTGAATGCTGTTGTTCACTATTTACACCAAGAAAGTTTAATTTGGCGGTATCTTTTCTACAGTAATGTGCTTTCAGTTTTAGTAAACTATCAAGAAAATCATAAATCTTTTGTATATTGTGTTCTCGTTAGTTTTGATGACAGGATTTCTTGTTTTGCTAATTTTATCTTTCATACCGACCCAAGTATGTAAGGTCCATTCTCCAATGTCTAATGTATGTAAAAACTTTTTTTACAAACGTGAAAGGTGGTGCCTACATCTTTTAAATGGTACTGTAAGGAACTGCCTCTACGAGAATTTGGATTATCTGTTCGCCTTTGTATAACCTCCTTCTTCAAAACTAGCACTTTTATAAAACACTTGTTTTCCGGAAGACTTATTTTCCAGTAAGTAGTAAAAATATTCTGCCTTAAATTATTACTTACAGAACTGCACTGATTGCAGAAATTGTGTGGTTACATCGAGGTGTCAGTGGTCTTGAAGCCCTAGGTACATCAAAAACAATTTTTCCTTGTTCTGTTTTTCGTCTACCAAAATATTCTTCTTCCTTATTTCTTTGTAATATTTGTTTCTCCGAAGTCCAGTTGTCTTTATTTGCTCGTCCTCGTTTTGCTCGTTTTGCCTTCGTACCTATTAGTTGTTATTGATAAAGGTGCTTCATTTGTTAAATTTTGTCTTTCTGCATCAGGTTCAGACTCCGATTCTATCTCCTCTTCTAGGTTGAATAGTGGATCAGCATCAGAGTTATCGTTATCTCCATTGGGGAAACTCTACAAACACCTGTAGATGTAGAGGGTATGATATTGACTCTTTCACTATGTACATCTTCTGACGATTCATTTTGTGCAAAAGCTAGCTGCACTATAGATTTTCCTCTAGATGACCTGAAATTAAATAATGTAACGTTATATTATAATACGGAACATCGTCGAATCCGATGCATGAAATACTTGTATGTCAAACACTAAACATTCGTGGGATGTAACATTCATTATGGAATAAGAGGTTCATACGTGGTTCTCAGATAGTTTAACAAAAAACATTTTTTATATCAAAACTATTTTATCGAGAGACTAAATAATACAAAATTATGAAACAAGTATCACGCATTTACTAGTTTTTAATTAGATAAACAAAAACTTACATTATATAAACTGATGTTCAAAGATTTACACAAAACAATTACTTACAATTAAAACAAAAATAAAAAGAAGCTTCCACTTTAAGAGGTTGTTCTGCCATCTATAAACTAAATTAGAATGCTGAAGAAGAATTCATTATCTGGAAACGCAGTTGCAAAAATAATAACACATCTTTACTTGACGAAGTCTACGTTTAGTCTGATTTGCTTATTGAATGTAAAGTATGTACGGTGGATTATTTAAATCACTCTCTTGCCAATAATCATGACACTTTACATTAAGAAATGTAAAACAATATTGTTACAATTCTTTCAAATAACTTTATTTAAAACCAACAATGTTATAATATTTGATTGAATAACAACTATAAGCTTCAAAATAATAATATTATTTGAATCATAGAATCTTTTATCCGTGAGTATTCTGTGAACTGTCAACTTGTAAGTTTATATACATTTTCTGAGGTTTCAGACATTACTAGACATTTCAGGATTTTTCGGTGATATCTTCATCATTCTATATTTTTTTAGTACTTCTTCTTTTTGGCAAAGGTAATTTTTTTATATGGAATAAATCTCATAAAACTGTTGTAACACTGCTCATTCCTTTATATGCATTCGCCTTGAATAACTGGTCTACCAGAGACCGATTAAAGCCAACAGGGTGGATCAGTTTCATGGTATGCAGCTAGTCTCTTAATATGAACTACTTTAAATTTACTTTTAGCTAAAAACGGTAGATTACATCATTTATTTTCCGCAGTAGGGTATGTGGGCCCTCCCAGTTTTGTTGAAGTTATGAAGCTACGGACAACGTTTGGGATTGTATAACGATACTGGCTCACCTCTTTTAAAAGTTGTTCTGGTAGCATGCATGTCGAGCTGGTATTGGCTTTACCATTTTAAAGCTTTAATCTTTTACATGCAATTTTCTAATTTTTTTTTTTAATTTTCAATATAGGTCAGGAATGAAAGATATTCTTCGCAGGGATGCAATCTTATGAAAATAAGATCTTGATGAAGCTCTATTTCTCAGCCGTTGATTATCATTGATTTAGAATAACTGGTTGCTTTATGTTATAAACTTCTATAGGTTAACAGAAATAGAGTAATTAAGGTATCTCACTATTTTTGATTATCAGGGAAAAACATTGAAAGGTATTGACAAACAGTTGTGTAGTAGATCAAGCTTTTTCGATAAGTGCTCTAATCTTCTGGTTGTAGGTTCATCCTTTATTTAATATGGTGCCGAGGTAGTTGTAGTGCATCGCTCTTTCTACAGGGGATTGGTTGACGTAGAGTTGGCCTTTTGATATCCTTTTCTTCCTAACTACCATAAGCTTTGTCTTCTTAACGTTTATATTGAGTCCATATTGTTGACTGTAACACATGATTTTTTTTATAAGATAAGTATTTAGTAGAATACCTTTTTCAGTTTCATGCAAAACTTTAATAAATATTGTTTCAGAGTACAGATTAAAGATTAGAGGAGACAAAATTCAGCTTTCTTTTACTCCACGCATGATTTTCACATAGTCAGTGTGTTCACCTTCAACTCTATGATTTGCTGTCTGATTCCTGAGATTTTCTTTAACATTTGTTTGACATTTTTCGACAGAGTAATTCATATCTCTAGCAACGGAGCAACACAATTTCGATTTTTGTGCTAAAAATTACAATTTTCTTTGAAATTCTATTTTCACCTGAACTTGAAGTCTTGCTATAGAAAAAAATGTTGTATTGTACACGACGATAAAATCGCATTATCTTTTCGAGCATAATTAGCGTCTCGACTGACGTCTCGACGCTAAAAAACGCTCTCGAAAATAAAGTACAATTTTATCGTCTTGTACAATAAATAACTATTTTTCTTGACTATTTCACGCATCTTAAAATTTTCACATAATCTGACTAATCACAAACCAAAGACAGTTTGTGTTATCGCGAAAACACCAACTGTCTTTCAATTCTAATTGGTCTATCAGCTTCATGTTTTAAACGACGTAACCATAAATACCGATCGCAAAGCAAAGTTTGACGTTTGCCAAAAAAATTATTGTAGCTGTATACGTCAAAATAAGTCCTTGCGGTGATACTTCAAACGAAGTTGTAAACCAAAACATTGAAGAAAATATAACGAGTAACACAAGAAAATCTAAATATTATATATGGAGACAATTTATGGTGTTTTGTGTGGATCGCAACTACAAATTAGATGCAGAAAATAACAACGAAAAACTAGCATTCATTCTAAAAGACTGGGCTTCAACATGCGAAAAATTGATGGTAGTGATTACAAGGAAAGTGTTATTAAAACCATATGGAACACTACTGCAAAATTGGTACAAGAAAAATATTTCTGTGAGTATCAGAGACATATTGATCTCTTTAAAGATATAACCTGCAAGGAAGTGAGAGCGGCTCGTGATAGTAAGAGAAAATTGTTGCAAACTGTACCCGATAAAAAGAAAATGAGTTCTGTCGCTATGACTTAATTTAATGACAATTTTTTTACAATTGCACCGTTTATAACAATTGTAGTCGAGAAACATCATTTTTATTTATAGTAGTATTAAAAGTATAATTAGTTAATAAGGAATTTTCAAAATTGAAACCGTGCAAAAAGTTCCCGACTCTTGATACGCATTGGTAATTATTGATGATACTGATGGTCGAGAACAACTTTCAGCAATCATTCCCGATGTTGGCGGCTTGCGAACAACAATAAGCTGTTTAATTTCGAGTAAAAATAGCGTATGAATTGTACTATTTATGGTTGAAAATTGCTACGTTTGAAGAAAAAATAGTATACTTTATTCAGCAAAGAAGCGACTTTTCTTGACTTGCCCTCTATTACGCGCCTCACTTCGTTCGGCGCGTAATATCGGGCGCGTCAAGAAAAGTCATGTTTCTCCGCCTCATAAACTCATATTATTATACTATTTTCCGTGTACAAATTATTTATTGTTATAGGTAAAAAATAATTTTAACTAATTATTTATAGTTATAATAAATATTTCATGATTATGACTAATTGTGAATTATTCAAAAAAAAAATGGGTAGATTTGGGTTACCTAGTTCAAATGTATTATTATTAAATTCCTTCCTCTCATTCTACTGAATTTTTGACCTATCACTTTTTTCATGAAATAGTCTAATAAAATACCACTCGTGATTTAATTTAGCTTATAAGTCTGTCTTTTATTTCTAAACTCAACTGAGTTACTTAAAGAAAACACCACGAGTCCGTAAGACTCATGGTGTTTTCAAGCAACTCAGTTTCGTTTAAAAGTAAATCGACAGACTTATCGCGAAAATTCAATCACTAGTGGTATTACTATTGAGAATAACTCCATATATACTGAATATACTTAAAGAGTGTACTCAATATACTTACAAAGAACAAAATTTAAGGTTTTTTTTAACAACGATTTTCCTTTTTTTTATATTTATGTAGAATAAAAAATAACTGAGATAAAAACGTTTAAAACCGAAATTTTACTGTGAGAACCATGTCACCGGGGTCCTTTAACCTTTTATCTTTTAAAAAATAAGCGATTTAAAAGATTAAGTTTACTACGACTTTATAGCACTTGAAATTACCTTTCAAACAGTTTTTGAATAAACCTGAGATCATAAAAATTAACGGAGTTACTATAAAAAAGTCCTGATGAAAAAAAAAAAGACCTGATTTGAGAGAGAAGATTAATATACTTTATAATAAAGCCGCTGATCGATGCCATTTTAGAAGCTGGCAGGTACTGTACAATATTATTGAACGGAAGTGCAAAAGATGTGAGTATGAGTCAACTACAACTCATCGAAGACCTATCAGCTTATCTGAAACAGATGCGTAACGAGTCCTTTATTAAGGCTACCACTAAAAATAGTGCCGTAAAGTTTACATCTCTGGTCCCAACGGTTGCTGCATTGAATGAACATATCAAAAGAGTTTATTTACAAATCCAGATATGACTTGAAAACAGAGACATTCGTTCTGCATGCAATTTTGCACCATCCCCAGTTGACTGGGGATGGTGCAAAATTGAAGAGTCTCTGTTTCCAACTAAAAATCCCAATCCACCTGCTCCAGAAAAACTGTTAAAAATGATTTTTTGTAACTGCAAAAAGGGTGCGGCGCTTCTTGCGGGTGTCGAAGGGTAGGGTTATTTTGCAATGCAGTCTGCGGATCATGCATTGGGAACAATTGTCAAAATAACCCTCCAATTAATGAAAAAGGAGAAATTAGTGAAGAGAGATTTGATGAAGTGTGAAAAATTAACAATTAAAGTACTATTAATATTTGATTAATTTATGTAACACTACTTAAATATTAAAATATATGAATGAACTTTTCATATATTTTAATATTTATTTTAATACGTTTAAAACATTTTCCATTATTTTTATGATAAGGGGTATAAATACTTTAATACTCAGTAAATGAGATTTCAATGATGTAATGGATTATTCAAATAATTTCTTGAAATAATTTTTTGAAATTAATTTTTTCAATGATTCTGCTTTAAGGGGGTGGTTTTTAAGGGTTGACATTTCACATTTAATCAAAAATTATATCATAAACAGCGTAGGCGCAAAATTTCGGGCATAATGCTTCTTAAATACAATCATTTTTTTCGAATCCTGAGAAAACTAATAAATATTTTTGAAAATTTTAAACGCAGAATGAAAGATCACATTACTACCGAGGGCCGAAAGTCCCTTAGAATAAACAAAAAGTTTTTTTGAATGAGATATTCAAAATAACACGAAATAAAAATCACACGAAATTTTCTCTTTAATTTCACACCTTCAACTTATTAAAATAAATATTATAGAAGTTTTCAGGGGCTTTCGGCCCTCATTAATAATATAATCGTTCATTCTGCGTTTAAATTTTTCAAAAATACTTATTAGTTTTCTCAGGATTCAAAAAAAATGAATGCATTTAAAAAGCATTGGCCCGAAATTTTGCGCCTACGCTCTTAACGAAACTATTTGGGTAATATTAATATGTAATTTGATATTTCAGAAATAAAAAAAATGATTTTTTCATGATTTTTGATTTAAGGGATAGTTACTAAGAGGGTTAAAAATTTAACTAAAATCATAAATCATGCATATAAATGTTGCAAAATATTTATTTTATTTAATTAATGGAGATTACTTCTACCAGAATCCTTAAATCTACATTTTTTACCATTTTTAACAAAAGATTTTT